GCTGAACCTACCACCACATTGATCAGCCATCATTACGATACCAGTGGCAGTGATCACAGTAGGGTCTAATGATATGGATTCAACCACTTGAGAAATAAAATTGTATATAAGCACTACACTTAGCTCCACTATTAACATCAATCACTGAAAGCATGTGAATACCATCAACAACCACAACTTAGTAACTTCCACTAAGCTTGTCTGTGAATCACTGAAAGCATGTGAATACCATCAACAACCACAACTTAGTAACTTCCACTAAGCTTGTCTGTGTTTAATGATAGTTCTTAACCACTAAAAAAACATAAATAAAATTAAACTTGATAATTAATTTATTACAATTTGCAATGAAACCACATAGAAACAGCAAGACTCCCCAAATATATCAAAAACAAACCATAGTTATCCAAATCAGGGAACTTTCAAACAATACCTGCCAGAGCCCAGCCAAACTTGAGTAGCTCCTCCTCCATCATATCGATAACGATAAATGTAATCTCCTTCTTGTTTTTTCATATCTTCATCATTTAGCTGGTCAAGTTTCCCATGCATTAAACTATCAAGATCGATTTCTTTATGTCTGGGGTCCATTCTGACCTGGTAAAGAGACGGTAAAACACAAAATGAAACTAAAGCAACAAAGGATGACAGTAGAAAGAAAAACCTGGTAAAGAGACGGTAAAACACAAAATGAAACTAAAGCAACAAAGGATGACAGTAGAAAGAAAAATTTTAAGGACGGTAGATCTTCACAAACAAATGAAAAGGATGTTCCATGAGACAACAAAGGAAAACAAAAAGAAAGAAAAAAGCACTTCATCTGACAGAGACAAGAATATTAAATGTAAAATTTATTGAAAATTTTATTCTTTCTCAAGGAGACAAAGTCACCTAAAATTTGTATTGAAAGTTTTGATGCAGAGAAAGTCACCAAACCTTATCAAAGTTGACAAGAAATATGGCAATTGGCATTAGTCTATCCCTCTCAGCAGTAGCATATCCCTCATTCTCCGTGTCAAATATATAGGAATATAACTTCTGAAACACGGGTTCAACGGCTGTGGCTTCAACCTCAAACAAAGGAACATCCCTTCCAAAATCAGTCTGGAAATGTATGTGTACAAAAATAAATGTTAACAAACTTCCCCAAAACTACATAAAAAAGATATTAAAAAAAGAAAAAAAAAAAAAAAGAGGAGGAAGAAGAAGAAAATAGCAGCACAAAGCTTTATTTGCACCTCTCTTGCAGTTCCAGCAGGAATCATGGTCTCCTTCAGCGCTTTCTCAAGAGCTATCAATTCAGCCTGACCTGCCTGTTGCAGTGCAAAATATAGTAGCTAAACTAAAGAGCTTTTTGTACAAAAATACAATATTCATTAATGAAAAGTATCATTTCAAATTGATGAGTGCAAGCAGATTTATTTATGCCTTTTGAGAGAAAAGCAAAGTGAAGTGGCGAACTAGTTTTTTTGCAATTGTTTGGGGTGTCTAGATTTTGAGAGAATAACAGGATAGTGAAGTGGCGAACTAGTTTTTTTGCAATTGTTTGGGGTGTCTAGATTTTGAGAGAATAACAGGATGTTTAGAGAGGCGGAAAAATCGTGTGAGGGGGTTATGAAGGGGGCTAGTTTTAATGTCTCCTTGTGGGCGTCAATTGATAGGCTCTTTTGTAATTATAATCCTAGTTTGATTTGGTTGGATTGGAGTTTTGTGGGCGTCAATTGATAGGCTCTTTTGTAATTATAATCCTAGTTTGATTTGGTTGGATTGGAGTTCTACAGTTATTTTTCGACTCCCTCTCAACCTTTTGTTTTTTGTTGAGTTGTTTATTGTACGGACTTGTATCTCTTTCATTTTTCTCAATGAATTCCCACTTTGTCCTTAACAAAGGAGATGAGGTTCTTCACTAAGTTCAAAAGAAGGAAATAAAAAGAGTTTCTCTATGACCTCCTCCATTTGAGTATGAATTATCTTATCCCATTTAGAAGTATATCATCACATAATTATCTATGACTATTTCTATCTCTATGGCAACCACTTGATGAAAAGCGGAGGAAAATGGAAGTGGGAAAATAGCCACGGAAAGGATTCCTCTTTGGATAACAGGCACTATAACTGGTATTCCTATCATCAGTTGTTCAAGAACTTTGATCTCTACCCAGATGATGAAAGAAAATCGATCACTACTTATGGATACGTTAAGAATGATTCAGATCTAGTTCATGGTCTATCTAGGCATAGAAGGCACTCTAGTGATACCTAACATATGCTGATTTTGGCAGACCATGCTATATATATGTAACAGATAAATAAATTCTATATTTCTAAAGATTTTGAAGGCCTTACTATTGGGATTACTGGGCTAGGAATGGATAGGGAAAAGACCCTAAAAGAGGAAATATGTTACAATTGAAGTATGACTTACCAAGCATGCTTGTATTTAATCAATAAAAATAAAGATATAACTTTCGGGAAGTTATCAGTTCAAAAACATGAAGTCAAGTGCAAAGGGAGCTATAGTCTAATAAATATAAATCAAAGTCTTGTAAGAATGTGAGTTACTTAACAAAATAAAAATGAAACTTACAGGAAATGCATTATATATGATATGATGTTCAATGTCAATGGGCTCGCCAGTCTCAAGACATGATGGCCTATGAGACGGGAAGCAGTCTCTCAGAAACTCTTGTAGCTTGTGTGAATCTACGAAGTACCGGTAGGCTCCATCGCCATTTAAACCAATAAGGATAATGTTCACTTCAAGTGGAACCTGAAAGGGAACCTGTGTAATGCTTTTATTAGTTTCTACATGAGCAGTAGAGAACCTATACATTGAAATGAGATTGTCAATCATAATAAAACATGTTCTAATTTTTTAGTTATTTTTGTAAATGGGTAATATGCATCATAATATTTCATAGTTCACAACATGTTCTAATTTTTTAGTTATTTTTGTAAATGGGTAATATGCATCATAATATTTCATAGTTCACGAGTTATGAAGAACCAAGGCAACTAGCAATAAAAAGTTAACGAAAAATTACAAGTCACACGTCGAAACTCACTAAGAGGTATAGGTCAATCCATGCTGATGTCAAAGGACTAAAATAAACAAGTCCAGTCGAAACTCACTAAGAGGTATAGGTCAATCCATGCTGATGTCAAAGGACTAAAATAAACAAGTCCAGACTACCGAAGCATAATCATAAGATCACAAAAGATGATCAAGGTCACTGCTACTCCCTTACAAAGGATAACAACAATGCAGACCTATCAACGAGGACAACCTTCTCAAGGTCACTGCTACTCCCTTACAAAGGATAACAACAATGCAGACCTATCAACGAGGACAACCTTCCCACAATTCGACAAATGGATTCAAATGTGAGTCCTTATCTTGATTCCATGAACAGCATTCCTCCATGATAGCCAAAGATTGTACGTACTCGAGTTTGATAGACAGCAAATAATGCCTTCAATCGAAAATCCATGATAGCCAAAGATTGTACGTACTCGAGTTTGATAGACAGCAAATAATGCCTTCAATCGAAAACATTGAGGAGGAAAGAAGAGAGAGAGCACATAACGCGCAAATCTGAAACTCTCTATTCCTCCTAATCATTCTAACGTCGTTCAAATCCCAAACGGGAGCATTAGCGAGCGCGACAAAGATAATCTAATCATAGCCACTGCATTTCATTCGAGTAAACGATTACGGAATCAAGGATGCGGAATCATGGTATGGAAGAATATACAGCAAGAGAAATACCTCAGCTCGTGAATGAAGCATGCGACGAACATCATGTCGAACACTATCACGGACGGTATGGAAGGCTCCGTGATGCCAGTGAGGGTGTCCCGGATCTCTCCTGAAAGCTTGAGCTGCCGACTCCAATGGAACTGCAAGCAATGCGAAAACAAAAACACAACCATATAATGATAAGCTTGAGTTCAATTCTGCAGCCATGGAACTGAGAACCGACTGCAATTCCCGAATCCTTTCTTCTTTGACTGCTCGGTTTGCGATTGACGCTGCGATTACGTCTCCATAAACATGAAAGAAAATCAAGAAATTGACGATCAATTGTTAGAATTGGAGGTTAGATAATTGATTAGCAGCAGAGCCAGTGGACGCGAACTGAACTGAGGAAATTCGTCGACATGATTTATATATTGGTTATTTAATCGAAATAATAAAAACTTTTATTAAATTGTATTTACATGCAACTTTTTTTTAATAATAAATATATAATCGAAATAATAAAAACTTTTATTAAATTGTATTTACATGCAACTTTTTTTTAATAATAAATATATATATATATATATATATATATATATAAAACTTTAAATATATTTCTTCATTTAATTTCCTTCCGGTAATTATTTTATAAAATAAAATTGACTGAACAAATATAAACAAATTTATTTATGAAAATATTTCAAATATAAAGTTAACATAAACAAAATATTATCAATTTAACTTTCTAAAATATTTTTAAAAAATTATTTTAAAAACCAGTAAAATTAATTCAATTAATTAACTACCAATATATATGCTTTAATGGACTATTATAACATAATTTTTACATTTTCACAAAAAAAAAAATGTTGGAAAATCTTGTGAATTTAGATAAATTGACATTTTCTTTTATTAAATTTAGATTTATATAAGGTGGGTTGTTTGGAGTTTGTAATTAAAATAATAAAAAAATATATATTTTTTAAAATATTTGTCTGAGCGAACAAAAAAAATCAAAATCTCTTCTATATTTATTATTATACTGGCTCTAAAATTAATTAATTATTAATGTTTTAATTTTTTTGATCTTTTATATATTATTTTAATTTAACTAATATATTTTTATTGACCATGTAATGTACTTTAAAAAGCTTAAATACTCATAAAATATTAAAAAAAAAAAAAAAACAAATTATCCACTTTACAAGACCTGAGCAAAAATAATCTACCCAACGTTGTGATGTACATAAACAAGACTAAACAAGACAATTCTTGAGTGGAAAATTCAGCTCAAGCATAAACAACCTTAATTCACCTACCAATTATAACACATGGCTTCGACGATGACGACGACGACTAGTATGCTCATAAACAATGGCTGGAAAACTACACGAGTATATGATCAAAGAAGCTAACCGACGTCGCCGGGGGCTCTCTCTGTTAAAGGGAGTTCGAGAGTGATCAAGAAATAACATCTTTCAGATTCTCTGATGTATTGGACTTCACCCTTCATGAG